TCTACTCTATCTCTGGTCTTTCTCTCTGGTCTCTCTCTGGTCTCTCTCTGGTCTCTCTCCAGTCTCTCTCTAGTCTCTCTCTGGTCTCTCTCTAGTCTCTCTCTGGTCTCTCTCTAGTCTCTCTCTGGTCTCTCTCCAGTCTCTCTCTAGTCTCTCTCTGGTCTCTCTCCAGTCTCTCTCTAGTCTCTCTCCAGTCTCTCTCTGGTCTCTCTCCAGTCTCTCTCTGGTCTCTCTCCAGTCTCTCTCCGGTCTCTCTCTAGTCCCTCTCTAGTCTCTCTCTAGTCTCTCTCTAGTCTCTCTCTAGTCTCTCTCTGGTCTCTCTCTCTGGTCTCTCTCTAGTCTCTCTCTGGTCTCTCTCCAGTCTCTCTCTAGTCTCTCTCCAGTCTCTCTCTGGTCTCTCTCCAGTCTCTCTCTGGTCTCTCTCCAGTCTCTCTCTGGCTCTCTCTAGTCCCTCTCTAGTCTCTCTCTAGTCTCTCTCTAGTCTCTCTCTGGTCTCTCTCTCTGGTCTCTCTCTAGTCTTTCTCTGGTCTCTCTCTAGTCTATCTCTGGTCTTTCTCTCTGGTCTCTCTTTCTGGTCTCTCTCTGGTCTCTCTCTGGTCTCTCTCTGGTCTCTCTTTCTGGTCTCTCTCTAGTCTCTCTCCAGTCTCTCTCCGGTCTCTCTCTAGTCCCTCTCTAGTCTCTCTCTAGTCTCTCTCTAGTCTCTCTCTAGTCTCTCTCTGGTCTCTCTCTAGTCTATCTCTGGTCTTTCTCTCTGGTCTCTCTCTGGTCCTCTCTTTCTGGTCTCTCTCTCTCTCTGGTCTCTCTCTGGTCTCTCTCTGGTCTCTCTCTGGTCTCTCTCTGGTCTCTCTCTAGTCTCTCTCTGGTCTCTCTCTAGTCTCTCTCTAGTCTCTCTCTGGTCTCTCTCTGGTCTCTCTCTGGTCTCTCTCTGGTCTCTCTCTGGTCTCTCTCTAGGCTCTCTCTGGTCTCTCTCTGGTCTCTCTCTGGTCTCTCTCTGGTCTCTCTCTCTAGTCTCTCTCTGGTCTCTCTCTAGTCTCTCTCTAGTCTCTCTCTAGTCTCTCTCTGGTCTCTCTCTGGTCTCTCTCTGGTCTCTCTCTGGTCTCTCTCTGGTCTCTCTCTGGTCTCTCTCTGGTCTCTCTCTGGTCTCTCTCCAGTCTCTCTCTGGTCTCTCTCCAGTCTCTCTCTAGTCTCTCTCCAGTCTCTCTCTGGTCTCTCTCCAGTCTCTCTCTGGTCTCTCTCTAGTCTCTCTCTAGTCTCTCTCTAGTCTCTCTCTAGTCTCTCTCTGGTCTCTCTCTCTGGTCTCTCTCTAGTCTTTCTCTGGTCTCTCTCTAGTCTATCTCTGGTCTTTCTCTCTGGTCTCTCTTTCTGGTCTCTCTCTGGTCTCTCTCTGGTCTCTCTCTGGTCTCTCTCTGGTCTCTCTTTCTGGTCTCTCTCTAGTCTCTCTCCAGTCTCTCTCTGGTCTCTCTCCAGTCTCTCTCCGGTCTCTCTCTAGTCCCTCTCTAGTCTCTCTCTAGTCTCTCTCTAGTCTCTCTCTAGTCTCTCTCTGGTCTCTCTCTCTGGTCTCTCTCTAGTCTCTCTCTGGTCTCTCTCTAGTCTATCTCTGGTCTTTCTCTCTGGTCTCTCTCTGGTCTCTCTTTCTGGTCTCTCTCTGGTCTCTCTCTGGTCTCTCTCTGGTCTCTCTCTGGTCTCTCTCTGGTCTCTCTCTGGTCTCTCTCTGGTCTCTCTCTAGTCTCTCTCTGGTCTCTCTCTAGTCTCTCTCTGGTCTCTCTCTGGTCTCTCTCTGGTCTCTCTCTGGTCTCTCTCTGGTCTCTCTCTAGTCTATCTCTGGTCTCTCTCTGGTCTCTCTCTCTGGTCTCTCTCTGGTCTCTCTCTGGTCTCTCTCTGGTCCCTCTCTAGTCTCTCTCTAGTCTCTCTCTGGTCTCTCTCTAGTCTCTCTCTGGTCTCTCTCTGGTTTCTCTCTAGTCTCTCTCTGGTCTCTCTCTAGTCTCTCTCTGGTCTATCTCTGGTCTTTCTCTCTGGTCTCTCTCTGGTCTCTCTCTGGTCTCTCTCCAGTCTCTCTCTAGTCTCTCTCTGGTCTCTCTCTAGTCTCTCTCTGGTCTCTCTCTAGTCTCTCTCTGGTCTCTCTCCAGTCTCTCTCTAGTCTCTCTCTGGTCTCTCTCCAGTCTCTCTCTAGTCTCTCTCCAGTCTCTCTCTGGTCTCTCTCCAGTCTCTCTCTGGTCTCTCTCCAGTCTCTCTCCGGTCTCTCTCTAGTCCCTCTCTAGTCTCTCTCTAGTCTCTCTCTAGTCTCTCTCTAGTCTCTCTCTGGTCTCTCTCTCTGGTCTCTCTCTAGTCTCTCTCTGGTCTCTCTCCAGTCTCTCTCTAGTCTCTCTCCAGTCTCTCTCTGGTCTCTCTCCAGTCTCTCTCTGGTCTCTCTCCAGTCTCTCTCTGGTCTCTCTCTAGTCCCTCTCTAGTCTCTCTCTAGTCTCTCTCTAGTCTCTCTCTGGTCTCTCTCTCTGGTCTCTCTCTAGTCTTTCTCTGGTCTCTCTCTAGTCTATCTCTGGTCTTTCTCTCTGGTCTCTCTTTCTGGTCTCTCTCTAGTCTCTCTCTAGTCTATCTCTGGTCTCTCTCTCTGGTCTCTCTCTAGTCTCTCTCTGGTCTCTCTCTAGTCTATCTCTGGTCTTTCTCTCTGGTCTCTCTCTGGTCTCTCTTTCTGGTCTCTCTCTCTCTCTGGTCTCTCTCTGGTCTCTCTCTGGTCTCTCTCTGGTCTCTCTCTAGTCTCTCTCTGGTCTCTCTCTAGTCTCTCTCTAGTCTCTCTCTGGTCTCTCTCTGGTCTCTCTCTGGTCTCTCTCTGGTCTCTCTCTGGTCTCTCTCTGGTCTCTCTCTGTCTCTCTCTGGTCTCTCTCTGGTCTCTCTCTGGTCTCTCTCTGGTCTCTCTCTCTAGTCTCTCTCTGGTCTCTCTCTGGTCTCTCTCTGGTCTCTCTCTAGTCTCTCTCTAGTCTCTCTCTGGTCTCTCTCTGGTCTCTCTCTGGTCTCTCTCTGGTCTCTCTCTGGTCTCTCTCTGGTCTCTCTCTGGTCTCTCTCTGGTCTCTCTCCAGTCTCTCTCTAGTCTCTCTCCAGTCTCTCTCTGGTCTCTCTCCAGTCTCTCTCTGGTCTCTCTCCAGTCTCTCTCCGGTCTCTCTCTAGTCCCTCTCTAGTCTCTCTCTAGTCTCTCTCTAGTCTCTCTCTAGTCTCTCTCTGGTCTCTCTCCAGTCTCTCTCTAGTCTCTCTCCAGTCTCTCTCTGGTCTCTCTCCAGTCTCTCTCTTGTCTCTCTCTCGTCTCTCTCTAGTCTCTCTCTAGTCTCTCTCTAGTCTCTCTCTGGTCTCTCTCTCTGGTCTCTCTCTAGTCTTTCTCTGGTCTCTCTCTAGTCTATCTCTGGTCTTTCTCTCTGGTCTCTCTCTCTGGTCTCTCTCTGGTCTCTCTCTGGTCTCTCTCTGGTCTCTCTCTGGTCTCTTTCTGGTCTCTCTCTAGTCTCTCTCCAGTCTCTCTCTGGTCTCTCTCCAGTCTCTCTCCGGTCTCTCTCTAGTCTCTCTCTAGTCTCTCTCTAGTCTCTCTCTAGTCTCTCTCCGGTCTCTCTCTAGTCCCTCTCTAGTCTCTCTCTAGTCTCTCTCTGGTCTCTCTCTCTGGTCTCTCTCTAGTCTCTCTCTGGTCTCTCTCTAGTCTATCTCTGGTCTTTCTCTCTGGTCTCTCTCTGGTCTCTCTCTGGTCTCTCTCTCTAGTCTCTCTCTGGTCTCTCTCTGGTCTCTCTCTGGTCTCTCTCTGGTCTCTCTCTCTAGTCTCTCTCTGGTCTCTCTCTGGTCTCTCTCTGGTCTCTCTCTAGTCTCTCTCTAGTCTCTCTCTGGTCTCTCTCTGGTCTCTCTCTGGTCTCTCTCTGGTCTCTCTCTCTGGTCTCTCTCTGGTCTCTCTCTCTGGTCTCTCTCTGGTCTCTCTCTGGTCTCTCTCTGGTCTCTCTCTGGTCTCTCTCTTGAGTTCATCTGCTTCTTGGTAGATTTCGCAGGTCACTTGTAAAACTCCATCTCCAGAACGTACTGTACTAAAACAATTTGGTTCACACACTTCTGATCTGCTTTGTCGGACCCCAAAGTGTCACAGGGACAGGGGTTCTTCCTCCCTGTTTTATATGATATAGAATGTATTTTCTAATGGGGAGAATTGTTCACAACATTTCATTTAATTCATTTTCTTGTATTCATTAATCTCAGGCGAAGGCACAGGTCAGTACAAGGCAGACTGTCGAGCCATAGTGACTGTACACTGCTGCATGTAAACAGTGCAAACATTTGACAAGATTGGTTTTATCTATGAAAAAGTGAAGTGCCCGAGCTTTAAGCCTTTACGATGGAGATGTTTGCACGGACACAGATGAGGAGGCATCGGGTTAAGTTATGTTTACGTGTTAGTTCAGGAATCACAGGCCACAGAGAAGGTGCTGCTGCTGCACAGTCTCAGCACCGTGTCGCTCCAAATCAAGACGCTGAAAACTTACGACCATTTAATATGTATGTACTTTGGACTCCATTTCTGTTACTCACTGCTTCTCTTAAAGGCAGTGACTGTGATGTTATAATCCATTCTGTTAAAACACAAAGTAAAAAGTACAAATGAGTCGATCTGAATGAGTCTTTCTGAATCTCAGCGTTCATTATTCACACTTTCTATGACACACCGGACATGGCCCACCCTCCGGAGCCTCACACTGACTGGATTATTCCATGGGAGGAATTATGACCATGGAGATAATTTCATAATTATGAAGGTGGTCTAGACGTTTTGGCTTTAGAGGGTGTGTCCCATTGTGTGAACCATTGTGTGAACCATTTTCAAAGTGGGTTCATTTGTAAGTTGTGAAAAAGTGTTAAAGTTTGTGGACGGATAGATGCTTGTTTAATGAGATTTATTTTTAAACTGGTATATTATATTTTACAACTACTACTTCTACTTTAAATACCCATGGGGTGATCAGGAATAGCACACAGCAGTAAAAGACATGTGTAGAAAGGTAAAGGCAATCTAGATGTAAGTTACATCCAACTTCAGCAGAGAACCCCCAAAAGGACTCGAGGAACACTGCTGAACACCTCCAGATCCTCAAAACACAGATGGACAGATTAGTCGAACTGCCATGAAATCTGGAGGACCGGGGAGGTCCAGAGCTGGTCCAGTGTTCTGTGACCAGGACTTAAAACCAAACAGCTCCTCTTGAATCCCAGATGTGACCATCGGTAAAGTTTCCTCTGCAGTTCCTTGGACTAGACCTTAGGGGGAGCTGAGGAGTGTCCCGCCATGTAGAGAGAGACCACCACCCCGGTCTCAAAAGGACCACCCCCGGTCTCAGAGGGACCCCACCAGGTTCTCATAGGGACCACCACCCCGGTCTCAGAGGGACCACCACCACCCCGGTCTCAAAAGGACCACCCCCGGTCTCAGAGGGACCCCACCCGGTTCTCATAGGGACCACCACCCCGGTCTCAGAGGGACCACCACCCCGGTCTCAGGGGGACTCCACCCCGGTCTCAGGGGGACCCCACCCCAGTCTCAGAGGGACCACACCACGGTTTCAGAGGGACCCCACCCCAGTCTCAGAGGGACCCCACCACGGTCTCAGAGGGACCACCACCCCAGTCTCAGGGGGACTCCACCCCGGTCTCAGAGGGACCCCACCCCAGTCTCAGAGGGACCACACCACGGTTTCAGAGGGACCCCACCCCGGTCTCAGGGGGACTCCACCCCGGTCTCAGAGGGACCCCACCCCAGTCTCAGAGGGACCCCACCACGGTCTCAGAGGGACCCCACCACGGTCTGCCACTCCATTAACACTGTCCCCGACCAATGTTGCAGAGACGTGTCAGCCCAGACAGTCCCAGAGGAGGCGACCAAAATCCTCTCAGACTTCGGACGGGAGACCATTGAGTCCATCCAACAGGTTCAGCTCTGTGTCTCTGCTCCTTATGGACCAATGTCTCTGTGTTTTTTATCATTGCATTTCCTGTGTTTGATTCTCTGATCTGTGTTGGTGAATCGAACACTTTGTTAAGCCCTCCAAGATAACTGCTGTTGTGATTTTGAGCCATGCAAAAATACATTGAACTGACTCTTGAAACACCACTTTAGAAGGGTCAAACCAACCCGTCTCACAGCGGTCTGAGGAGTCGGGGTCTGAAAAGGGTTTGGGTCCAGATTGAGGACTATATTGACTAACCGTTTAGCGTGTGCGATTGAAAACGTGTCTATTTTTCTTTTCTCTATTGTGTGTCCTGTTAAAGCAGGTACGACTACACACATGGGAACCTGCAGTTTTGTCTATTCGTCCCTGGACAAATAAACAAAGTGCTTGCCTCGGTAAATCAACCTCGGCTTGAACCAGCTTTATTAGCATGACAGGCTAATTGAAGCCATTTGCAGGCGCGCTCGGCTTCTTAAGTGACATTTCCAGAGGGTTTTACGGCTTCACAGCTGGATCCCATTGTGCGGCCAAGACTATGAGGAGAATGTGGACAGAGACCGAGGAGGTGAGGCAGTGATTCGGTGTTCTGCTGATCCCAAAACAGAGCCCATATACTCAGCAACCATCACTTTGAAGTGCGGCTCCTGGCTTGGTGCTGACACTGAATTATGTGGAGAATCTCACACGTCATATCCACTTGTATTAAACTCAGATTTTATTGTTTGAATTGACCGTCTCCATGTGTTCTTTCATGGAGCTCATTATGTCTGAACGGCACATGGCAAATTTGGATCCTGTCTTTTATCGAATTCTTCAAATTTCATGACCTCAACGAACAAAAATCTAAAAGGGAAAAAAAATGGGACTTTTCAATCTTCTCCGGATTGGAACGAATTAAACTATGATTTAACTCAAAGACCTCAAAACTGTTTAAATTATAAAGAAAAGTGTGTCGTTCTGTGTTGATCAATACCCAATGTTACCTCAAGAGAGAGAGACCAGAGAGAAAGACCAGAGTGAGAGAGACCAGAGAGGGAGACTAGAGAGAGAGATTAGAGAGAGAGACCAGAGAGAGACCAGAGGGAGAGACCAGAGAGAGACCAGAGAGAGAGACCAGAGAGAGACCAGAGAGAGACCAGAGGGAGAGACCAGAGAGAGACCAGAGAGAGAGACCAGAGAGAGAGACCAGAGAGAGACCAGAGGGAGAGACGAGAGAGAGACCAGAGAGAGACCAGAGGGAGACCCCAGAGAGAGACCAGAGAGAGAGACCAGAGAGAGAGACCAGAGAGAGACCAGAGGAAGAGACCAGAGAGAGACCAGAGAGAGAGAGACCAGAGAGAGAGACCAGAAATAGAGACCAGAAATAGACCAGAGGGAGAGACCAAAGAGAGAGCAGAGAGAGACCAGAGAGAGAGCAGAGGGAGAGACCAGAGACACCAGAGAGAGACTAAAGAGAGAGACCAGAGAGAGATGCTCCGCTCTGAAAGAGGACAGTGATCTGTCTGTTCTGGAGGTTCTTTATGAATCCAAACTCTAAGAACAATCAATGACTCTTCTGGTCCTTGGAAAAGCCATGTTCCAGCTTCTTCCCTCTGGCAGAGGTACTGAGATGCAGAACATGCTAATATGCTAACATGCTAACATCTTCTTTCCACAAGTTACCAGTCTGGACAAAGCACTTTAATGAACTTCTGTAATTTTTTAACTTGTTATACTTGTGTACTTGTCTGCTGCATTGTCGAAACTCTTGCACATGTATTCCAATGTGGTTTTACTGCAAACAGTCTGACTCCCACATGCAGCTCCTCATTCACCCTTCTTTAAAATACCAGCGTACAGAGTGGGCCGGTGCTGGTTGTCCCCGGAGAAGGAATCCCGGTGTTTGCCTACCCACAGTTTGCTTTCCCAGGCTGCAGACCGCATTCATTTCAGGTCTTACAGAGTCACGGCTAAATCCTGCCGCCGGGTCGACCTGCAGCTCGGCTCGGCTCGGCTCGGATGACACTCGCTCTGATCCCAGAAGGAAAAGGAAAAGGAAAGATACCGTCGTGTGGAGTGGACTGTGACGACCTGCGAACGCTGTCGCTGTGAAGGGAAGTACTGGGCTTTTAAGATAGAGAGAGAGATAGACAGATAGATAGATAGATAGATACTTTATTTATCCCTGTAGGAGAAATTCAAGTGTCTAGTAGCAGCAAAAAATAGAATGGATCATTCTAAAAAGCAACAATAGTCATAACAACAGCCTGAGGTCACAGCAGCCGCCGCTTGGTTCGGACATGAATCCTCTCTGCTCTGGTCTGGGTTAGGCTTCACACAGAGAGTCCTCAGGGTCAGCACTAGATCATATACGGAATCTGGACGGAAGCGGAAGTAAATATAACAAAATACCTATTCATGCCTAAACTTAACCAGCCATTCCCATAAAATAACCCCAACCCACCCTTAACCCTAACCTTAACGATCTTAATAAGACGCCTAAAACTTAACCAGTCACCACTTAAGGACTTTTTAGTCTAAAACCAATTCGAAAGTAGGATTGTTACTTCCGGTTTTGTCCCGATTCCGTATATGATCTCGTGCCGACCGAGTCCTCAGCCTCATGGACATTTATAAGTCCCATTCTGAGCCTATGAAAACAATTTAAAAACATGACGGAGGTAAATATTCTTTAAAAGTTCTCATTTGTTACTGGTTAATATGGTTTTTTCATTTTGAGCAAATGTAAAAATTACACAGAGCACCTTTAAAGAATAGATCCTGTTTTGTTGTGTGCAATCTGAGACTTTTATTTCCTCCTTTTATTCTGCTGAAATGTGCAACAATGATTGAATCTGTGGAAATGTCCCCACAGGATAATCTGATCTTGATTCATGCCGTGTCTTGGTGAAGTGAAGATGAAACAGTTCTTTTAAAGTGTTTTAAGTGTCTTTGTGTGAAGCCTGAAAAAGCAGCGTCTGTTTTTATTATATGACTTGGATCGTGCGCTCTGATTGGCTGATTTGCGGTCTGATGTTTTCCCATCTCGGACCGTTACCATGACGATCGGTCCGCAGCACGTATCAGATTTGATATCTTTCCTCGGTAAAAAACAAATAATGAGCGACTGGGAGCATTCTCAGTGAATTCTATCATCAGGACGAGTTGGAAGAGCCCGAGGAAGTAATAACAGCAAATAACGACGAAAACACAACTCCAACAGTCAAGAAGAGATCGACAACTTCGTTACAGACCAGAAAGGTAAAAATAGGACCAGGAAAACCAAGTGGGACATGAACATTCTTCACAAATATCTAAAAAGCATTGGTAAAGACACAGACTGAGAACTGACAGCGGGCGTCTCAAACATCTGATCACTTCTTCATGTCACAGTTTGACAGTTTGGTCAAATGTGTTTTTAGTTGAAACCAATTGATATTTGCACAAATTAAAAATAGTCATATAATAAAACATGTATTAACCTCGTTTGCTCGGTCCAGACCTAGCGCTCGTTTAATAAGCCTTTAATATCTATGGTTATCTGTCTGGTGTTGGACTGTATCTTGGGCTCTTACACACACTGGGTATCCTTCTATGCAAGACACTGTAACAACAAACATCTATTCAATTCAACAGTATTTATCTCAAAGGACTTTACAAAACCGTTGAAATCACCAACACAGATCAGAGAATCAACAGTTCCAGCACAGAGATTATAGAACACATGGTTTTGGTCCGTAAGAGGAGAGCCCTAAGTCCATACATGTTGTTAAAGTGTCTGGGATCAATATAGTTTTTCTTATCTTAACTTGTTTCTGCCATGAGACCAAAGAAAATCCCTAGTTTGTGACATCCCGTTACTTACAATGGCTGTAAAATAATTCTGATTCTGGGGATCAAACAATTAACAATATAGCATCAAAGCAGTGGGTTTTAAAGCAGCTAAAATCTTGAATGTACTGTGATTATTTATAGTTTTTCCAGGTGATTGTTTCTGTCCTCTTGTTTTGTTCAGCACTTTGAGTTCCCTTGTGTATTCTTGGGTTTCATATGACGTCAGGGCAGTGGTGCGAATAACAAACGTAGGACAGGACGTGACGTATCCTGGCGGTGCAGTCTGCCGGGTTTATACACAGAGATATAGTAGAAGAAGAAGTGGTTTATACACGGAGATATAGTAGAAGAAGAAGTGGTTTATACACGGAGATATAGTAGAAGAAGAAGTGCTGTCAAAATGCCATCTTTTTGTGCGGTGTACGCTTGTAGCAACCGCACTGAAAGAGAGAAAGACAAGAGTTTGTTCGTGTTCCAACTGTGGTCTCATATAAAGGAGGACACTTTGAAAAAATCACTGGAATGAGGCGGAGGTGGATCAAGGCTTTCCCAGATAAGCGCCCCCTGCAGGCCACCCCAATGAAACGCAGTAATTTCTTCTGTTTTTCTTTCCAAAAATGCCCGAAATCAAGACTCTTTTGAGAAATATTTGTTAGTGCTCCCTAAGAATTGAGTGTCCCCGATTAAGACTGTTCCAACAACCGTACACCGCACAGGAGGAGAGCCTTTGACTCCAAAACAGACTTTACATGGTTTTCAATGGGACCAAAACTGAGTTGTCCCATCGCTGCTCATTCGCCCCCTACTGGCCAGTTTAATGAAACCCAATAATGAGCAATACTGAATTTAGAGTAAGAGTAAGATTAAGAGACTATATATGCATGTGCTATACAACTAAACTAAACTCTCCTTGCCTTTAACGCTTGTGACTCCAAACAGCGTCCAAACAGCCCCATCCTGGATCAGCCCTCTCTGCCTTTAACTATAGGTCTGTAATGAGCAGGAGAGAGACACAGGGGGGAACAGAAATGCCCCTCTCAGACTGCAAACCACCACTGAATTATCCCTAATGGACTGGCACGCCGCCGCCGCCGCCACGGTTGCACCCACTGGCCCATTATATCAGCCTCCATAAAAAGATAGTGTGAAAACAGCGGAGGACAGGCAGGCGGTGTGTTCCTCTGGCAGCTGCAATCTTCAACTTTATCTGCGGCAGCGTCTGGGAGAAAGTTGCTAATAAGGCAGAGATAGAGCGCCGTTTGGACGGTGGGAGAGCGACCACGTTCTGGCGCGGCTCCGAGAGATTTACGGCCTTCATAATGAGCCCGTTCCCCAGGACTGGAGTCTGGACCGTGCTCCTCTCGGCGCTGGAACCTCCTCAGCTTTCACTTCTTTGCTTTGGGCTGACACTCGGAAGTATGTTTGTAAAGAGGTAAAAGTTTGTGTTAGACCCTCAGAGGAAAGTGTTGAAGGATTAACGTTCTCAACATGTGATGCGCGGACTAAAAGAAGGCGGCGTGACTGCTATGAAATGGTCTTGTAAAGTATAATGTTTATCAAAAGCAGCAAGTCCTCATTAAAGGGCCCTAATCTGTCATCATTAAAGGGCCCTAATCTGTCATCATTAAAGGGCCCTAATCTGTCATCATTAAAGGGTCCTAATCTGTCATCATTAAAGGGCTCTAATCTGTCATCCTTAAAGGGCCCTAATCTGTCATCATTAAAGGGCCCTAATCTGTCATCATTAAAGGGTCCTAATCTGTCATCATTAAAGGGCTCTAATCTGTCATCATTAAAGGGCCCTAATCTGTCATCTTCAAAGGGCCCTAATCTGTCATCATTAAAGGGCCCTAATCTGTCATCATTAAAGGGCCCTAATCTGTCATCATTAAAGGGTTCTAATCTGTCATCATTAAAGGGCTCTAATCTGTCATCATTAAAGGGCTCTAATCTGTCATCATTAAAGGGCCCTAATCTGTCATCATTAAAGGGCCCTAATCTGTCATCATTAAAGGGCCCTAATCTGTCATAATAAAAGGGCCCTAATCTGTCATCATTAAAGGGCCCTAATCTGTCATCTTTAAAGGGCCCTAATCTGTCATCATTAAAGGGCTCTAATCTGTCATCATTAAACGGCCCTAATCTGTAATCATTAAAGGGCTCTAATCCATCATCATTAAAGGGCCCTAATCTGTCATCACTAAAGGGCCCTAATCTGTCATCATTAAAGGGCCCTAATCTGTCATAATAATAAACTGCTCTTTTCCAATCCTTCTTTAACTGATAACAGTCGTTCAGAGATATTTGAATTTCTAAATTACTTTTCCAGCCTCTAAATCTTGTTATTGTTTTCATTTCGATGTCCCGCCCTCCACCGTTTCACCAATCAGAAAGTCTGTGATCCGAGCGCCAGAACTCACCGCGTGGAGCTAATCTCACTGGTAAAGTACCATGTGGCGCAGAACTAAAAAAGGTCTCGTTATGATTCTCAAATCATTAACGACAAAACAAGGAATAGAACCAGGATTTCTATCTTTGTGAAAAAGGTGTTGGTTATAGATTTGTTGTTGACAAAACTCTTGTCTATTCAGCTGTTATGGTCCCAGCTGGATTCGTCTGCATATCTGGCAACCTGAGTCAGGGAGAGTGGGAGAGGCTGCAGTACCACTTTTGGCCACATTTTTACACACTGCTCCTTAAATGACAGACCACAACTTTTTAATAACAATAATAATGCCGTTTTCCAGCACTTTTTGGACTCTCAATCACACTTCATTATTCATTCACTCCAAACACGGTGGTGATAAACTACTAGCCACAGCTGCCCTGGAGCACACTGACAGAAGCGAGGCAACCAGTCTGTGCCATCGGCCCCTCCCACCACCACCAACCATTCACACACACACCAGACTTATTTTAATGTGGGGGAAGTGTCTTGCCTAAGGACACAGTCACAGTCTGGCACTTTACAGCCGCAGCCGCCCCACTTTGGCACCTGCTGTTCCCGGAGGTCTCCCATCACAGCACTAACCAGACCCAGCCCTGCTTATCTTCAGACGTCTTTAGCGTATCTTTGCTAAATGCTGTAAGTTTTTGTGTGGACGGATGAAGAAGCTCTCGGATCCAAAAGGTTGAAGGTTTAAAACAATGATAGAAAATGTCTTTGCTGCAGCTTTAGTGACGCAGCACGAACCACACAGAACAGCTCTAAAACACACACACACACAGACACACACACACACAGAGACACACACACACACACACACACACACACACAC